GTCCCTGCTGTCCCTTCTGTCCCCGCTGTCCTTGTCCCTTCTGTCCCCGCTGTCCCTTCCGTCCCCGCTGTCCCCGCTGTCCCTTCTGTCCCTGCTGTCCCCGCTGTCCCTTCCGTCTCTGCTGTCCCCGCTGTCCCTTCTGTCCCCGCTGTCCCTTCTGTCCCTGCCGTCCCTGCTGTCCCCCCTCCGTCCTGCCTCGCCATCAGTGTTTCTCCAGTTTGCTAGAAACTGGGCTCGTACTGAAATCACATCTTTCTTCAGCGGTGTGAGACGTGGGTTTCAGGATTCGGCGTGAAGCTCCTCTGTCTCTGACGTGCTGCAGGGTTCAGGGCCCAGGCCGCGGGGTGGCCAGGTCGCCCGCACCCGGAGGCTGCAGAGGGAACGACTTTGTCTTCCGGTCTAGTCCAGCACGCCGTCTGTGACACGTGTTGCCACGCTGGGATTTCTCGGGAGGCAAAAGGCAGGTACTTCAGGAGGCCGGCGAGCCAGGATCCGGAAGCTCGGGCCGTGAGAACAGCCTTCCCTGGGAGGAGGGGCCGCAGCAGGAGGAGGAGCCACAGCAGGCGGAGGCAGGAGCTGATGGCCATCAGCACAGGAGGAACGGGCAGATTTTCAGAAAATGCAGTCAGCAGCCTTGAAAGTGAGCTTGGGATGAAATGCATTCTGTGTGGTGCCGGGTCCTGGAGACTGTGCCCCCCATGGGCTCCTGCTCCAGCTCCCCATGCCTGGGGGTTGGGAGCCCCATCCCGTTGGCGTCCCCGCCGGCCCCTGGCTGGGGCGTCTTCTGCGCTGACGCCCACGTGCGTACACCAGTGGACCTCTGCTCAGGCCCGGGGTCTCTGGGGAAGAGAGCCCGGTGAGGTGCCAGGCCGGCCACGCATGCAGCCCCTCCCCTGCTGCACGCCCCTCATGGGACCCCGCGTGGTTCCGCCCCTCCTGGGGTTCACACACGGGCCCGTGTGCACACATCCGAGTGGGTCCATGGCGGTCTGAGCGTGCGCTTGCCGACAGGGTGCGAAGCTGCGGTTGGCCCGCGTGCGGATGCCAGCAGAGAGAGGAGGTGGCCAGGCCTCCGCGGCCCCCTGGGGAGTGACTAGCGCCACACTCCCAGGCTGGCTGCTGCAAAGTGTCCGGACGAGAAGGTGGCCGTGTGCCCGGCCTGGCCCTCACGTCCCAGAGCCCTGGGCCCGGCGCTCTGGCCCTTCCCCGCTCTGCACTCGGCGGTGGCCCAGCTGGGAACTGACCTCCCGCTCACAACCAGGTCAGAGTGCATCGGGCTGAGATTCCGCCCGGGGATGTCAGAGGCTCCGCCACGACCGTGGGACGACCCGGGGGTTTGTGCGCCCCAGAGGTCACAGCACGATGGCGGGGAGGAGCCTTCCAGAGGGACCCGCGTCCTGTGGGTCTGACGGCGACACCCTCCTGCGTCCGGGTGAGCCCTGGACACCGATCGGCAGACAGGAAGCAGAGCCGAGCTGCGTCCTCGCTCACCCCGCACTCGTCCCGACGCGCCGCGTGAGGCGGTCGGTGGCTCGTCTGCTCCGAGCCGAGATTGTCTCGCAGCCTCTCTTGGCGCCTCCTCCTCATTCGAGCCCCGCTCTGGGCCTCCCCTCTGTGCGCGGCAGCCCCCAGCGGACCCCACCATCCGCGCCATCCGGGAATACGCCGACAGCCCCCAAACAGCGAGCTGCCGAAACCGCCGCGTGCACTAAGCCGAGTTCTCGTTTAGATAAAGCTCCTTCGTGTCCTCACGAGTTCACCGCCGACACCTCCAAAGGCCAAAGGTCAGACTGCAAAGGCCACACGGTACGCTTGGCTGAAATCGGCTGGGTACGATTAAGCCACGTTCTTATCTTTATGAAGAAACTGACGTTGGCGGCTGCACAGACGAGGCGGAGGTACAGACGCGGGGACCTTGCCACACCTCTTACGGCTCCCGTGGGCCTGACCTGTGTGTTTGCGCTCTGAGCTGTGCGGCGTCCTTGGAATGCCCTTCCAACTTCAGGTCAGCACCGGTCGCCCTGAGATTAACAGTCTCCCTGAGAAAATGTCGCCCCGGTGGCTGGCATGCAGTGGGGACGTGCCCCGCGAGTCGCCTGTGGAGTCTAACAAGAGCGAACAGAGCAGAGGTACTAACACGAACTCAACCACCGAAGGCTGTGAGCCGAGCCTCCCGTAGCCAGCCCCCCTCCCAAGAGGGACACGGCAGCCCCACAAAGGCCCCCGATGCACAGTGCCAGGGACAGAGGATGAGAAGCCCCTGCAGAAACAGATCACACTCCCCGCCACGAGTCCCCACAGAGGGCTGGCAGAGCACCGCTTGCAAACGACGAGTCTGCAGCTCCGGGTCCTGATGTAACAGGACAGTTCAGACGTGGTCCAGTAGGTAGGAGCTGGCGTGGGGAATCACCAATCCCATTCCTGGAGGAAATGGGCCAGAACAGAACCTCCCTCAAAGATGCAAAGTAAGTGGGAATGAGCTAGCCGGGGACCTAGAAAATGTCCTATGTTATCGGGACGGGGGCGGGGGAAGGGTCAAGGGGAGGTGGGCAGGGGGAGGACAGGTTGGCACGGATAACCGTGTGAAATGTGGGAATACAGATCAGTCCAGGAGCCGGGAGGTGCTCTGACTCAGACAGACACCTGGGCAAAAGACCCAGTTTCCACAAAGGGGAAAAATCGGCCGGCTTTAGACTCGTCCTCAGTCGTGACGGCTCCAAGGCAAAGAGGAAATGTGCGCGGGAAGCGACGAGGGGACCAGGTGCCCCAACGACCTGCCTGCCTGGGAGTGACTCACGGAAACGCAGCAGGATGACGTCATCAAGTACAAAACCGGGGAACTGCGGCTCTCGCGGGAACTCCGTGCTGGTGGCGGGGTCGGCGGGGTAGGCGCGGGGTCGGCGCGGGGTCGGTGAAGACCAAGATCCGCCGCTCCCTTCTCTCCCTCTCTTCCTTCTGTTCTCTTTGCACACACTTATTACTTCCTTCCTTCCTTCTCATTTTCCTTCTTGGGACGTGGGAAGGTGGGGCCTGCTGAGCCAGAACCGAGAACGGGACAGGCGGCCAGGAGGGCGCGGAGACGCAGCTCCCGAACCCCGCTCCTCCTGTCCTGCAGGGGCAGAGCTGGGGGGACCTGGCTGCGGAGCTGGCTCACATTTCACGCGCCCCCCACCACCCCCACCGGTACGGGGCGGACATGTGACTAAGCTCTCACCAGGGAAACGCATGCAGCGGGGTGGATGTGACGTCCCGTGACGTCCCCTCACATCCCTGAGAGAGACGTCTGGGCCTCCACATGTGTTCCTCCCCGTTCCCACTGGACGTCGCGGTTGCTGGTGGCAGGACCCCATCGTCTGGCTCCCTGATGGCTTCAAGGGCCAGGGCTACTTGTGGGTCTGGAACGCCCACCGTGGACACTAACCGGGTGCACACAGGTTTGCTGCGCTGCTCTGTAAGCCCTGAGCGAGTGGGACCCTCGGGCCACAGCAGCTTAGCCTTCTGTCTCATGTCGAGAGAAAACTCGCACCGCGAACCACACGCGCCCAACTTCCCCCTTAACCCGAGAGAAACACGGCAGGGACTTGACGTGTCGCAGGGGGAGGAGACTTTGGAGACACCCCCATCTCCGTCCGTGTCTCTCTGTCCCCACACTTGCATTCGTCCCTGAGAAAACCTCCTTCTTCCGTCCTCTGCCAGACGGCCGTGTGGGTGGACCCCCCACCCCCAGAAGAGCTGGCCGATTCTTATGCCCACACTCCCGTCAGGGTGTAGCGCCCACGACGAAATTCTGGTGCTCCAGCCCAACGAGGAGCCAGACACAACGTCTAAACGTCTAGAAGTAGCAAGGAGCCTAAAAGCCCAACGGATGTTTTAAACCAGAGACCAGATAAAAGCGAATGCGTGAACTGGAAGGTGGATCTGAGGAAATTATCGAGAAGGTAGCAGAGAGGAAAGGAAATCAGGAAGAAAGGCTAATGGACACGGCAGCTGGAACGAGGGGAGGCAATGTGTGTATATTGTTCCAAAAAAGTAGGGGAAAAATGGAGGGTTGATGACGAATCCATGGCTGAGAACGTTTCAAAATTAAAGAAAGCCATGGGTCTTTGGATCGAAGACCCTTGAAAAGCTGAGCTGCTAATGCTGGCTTCATCTTCCAGCGACAGCCCCGTCCAGGAGCCACGCAGCCTCCTGAGAACAAGAGATGCTCCTGGCACTGTGATCACTCAGGAAATTACACGGGTTTTCGGAGCTCTGTCCTGGGGTCTGGGGGCAGTTGTACTGTACAGCTCTGTGGTTTCACAGAGCATCAAAGAAATGCCGGAAACATCGAAGACAAAGAGAACATTCTAAAAGCGGCCAGAGAGAACCAACCCCAGATTTCTTGCAAAACTTTAGTGAGCTAAACTGCTGTCCAACGGGGGAAGGGAAAGACATCCCTAGAGAGAGACCGAAAGCGCCCCTGGCAGACCCCACGGAAGGGACCGGAAGGCCCTATCCGGGAAGAGGCGCAGAGGCCAGGAGGAAGGATGGGGTCCGTAGGCATGATGAGCGCCCAAGCGCGAGACCCTAACTGTGAACGATTTACTCCGCGGGGAGAATCACTGATCCCAACGACGAGAGCTGGTCAGTAAGAAACGGCAGAAATCTAACCCAACAGCACGAGGCTCGGCGGACGAGTGGCGGCGGTGTTGAGGGGGCCCGTTGCCCACGGGTCCCGCGGGCTGTCGTGGGACGTGTTAAGCGGAGCCGACAGGCCTGGGGCGAGCCCTCGAAGAACGGAACAGAGGGTGTGACTTCCGGCCTCTGCAGAAAAGGCAGGGGGACAAAGAAATTCGATTATTTCAATCCAACGCAGAAAAGTAGATCTAAAAAGACGAGGAAATCATGGCAAATAAAAACACCGAAGGAGGTGGCGGCAGGTAGGCCCAGAGAGACGAGGGTGTGGAGCACACAGAGCCACCCACCGTGAGATGGGACAGCGAGGTCCTTGTCTCGGGCGAGGCCCAGACTCCGCTGGGGCGGATCAATGGGAAGCCTGGGTGCCCAAGAGCTTCGAATGCAGAGGGCGCAAAGGGCCCACGTGGAGAAACCGCTGAAAACACGAAAGGAGAGAAATGGCCTGCCCGGCCCTCCAGCTCCGTCCGCCGCCGCGGAGCTCGTGTTTCCTGTGCCTGTGCCGAGCAGCGTCCCTGAGGGCCACCTCCCCGGGGACCCGGAGCCGCCGTGTCTGCCCGGGACCGCTAGGCGCAGCCCCGGCTCCGGGGAGCCTCACGAACTCTGCCTCGTCCCCTCTCTGATGGGCTGGGACAGGACACATTCATTCTTAGGCCTGTGTCCAAAGAAAGAGTCGCCAGAGGTCATGAGGATTTCCGTACAAGGACGGTCACCTCAGCGTTTCTGTAATAACGACAGTTGAGGAGCCCAAACGTCCATTCACAGGGTCCGGTTAATAAATCACGGCCGAGTGGGCAGGCGGCCCCCCTGGGAACGCGGGGGCCCCACAGTCTGCGTGTGGAGGGACAGCCGGGACGGTGAGGAAGAGGGGAGGGCAGCAGGGTCGTGGGCACCGCGCGACCCCCGATGAGCCTCGATCCGCCCGCCCTCGCTCCGGCCCAGGCGCAGGAAGTCGCGGGCGGTTCTGGGAGCGGAATGTGCCCCCGTCTCTCCCCCTTCGCCATGGCTTCAATTTCCCACTGGACCTTAGTTATTGTGCTCGCGGGGGAGGCGGGAAGCGGTCGGGGGAGGTGGCTTTCTTCAACCTGCTGTGTTCTTTGTGTGAGTTTTCAAGTTGCTGTTGTTCTTTGCGACGAAAGGGGACCTGCCCTGGCACCTCCGCCTGCCTTCTGCTCGCCTGCCCGGACCGGGCCCTGCGGCCGTGCAGCCCGGGCCCAGCTCCCTCGGCCTGCGCCCCTCCGGAAAAGACTGGTTTTGAAGATGTGCTGAAGGGTGTCTCCATGCGTCCCCCGCATTCGGAAGTCCCACACCTGTGTCGCTTGCCGCATCGAGTGAGGCGTGAGTCGCTTTTACCGTGATAGAGAAAACCAATGACGAGACCCAATGGCGTGACCCAAACAGCGCCTCGCAAGCCCGCGGCGCCCCCCTCCCCACCCCCATCCCGTCCGTCTCTTGGAGGCAACGTCACCGGGTAGCACAGGTCTCGCTGCTGCCACTGTCCTTGCAGCAACTCCGCCTGGCGCCAACTGTTAGTCTCCAGCAGGTCCAGGCAGTGGCACCAGGAGCCTCGGACGCCCGCAGTCCTGCCTGCAGGGTTCCCGCCGGGGCCCCTGCTGAGCCTCTGCCCGCCACAGGGAATGGAAGCAGGGACGGTAATCACAGAGCACGCGGGCACTCGCCGGGTCCCAGGCGCTTCAGAGTCTCTGTCACGGGGTCCAGGCGCTTCAGAGTCTCTGTCACGGGGTCCCGGGCACTTCAGAGTCTCTGTTTCCTTAACGCCTACTGCACTGGCAGGAGACAATGCCCAGTTTCCCCTTCACTCCAGAGGACGACATCGAGACTCAGTGCGATGACGAGGCTCCCGCCATGTGGCCGGTCCTCCTCCAGGGGGCGCGGGGTGAGCCGTGAACCCCTGCTGTCTGGTTCTGGCTGCAGGGAGCTCACCCCGCGGCTCCCTCGCGTCCAGGACAGGGTGCAGCCTGGCGGAGGGCTAGTGCACACATGTGTCCTGCGGGACAGTCGCAAGCTGGCCCGTCGGATCCCCTCAGGGGCGTGCTGTGCAACAGGCTGGACACGGCGGGCCGCGGCTCGGGACACAAAAGGGAAGTGGGTGGCAGGAGCCGCGGCACATGAGGACGGAGGCAGGCAGCGAGTGTGGGAAGTCGGGGTGCGGAGACACCGGGTCTCGGGTGCCCATGGGGACGGTGCTTGGGAAACCCCAGGTGGCGGGGCCCGGTGCAGGGAGGCAGCCTGGTGTCATCCTGTCTCCGCCTGCTCAGGACCCGGGATGACCCACCACCCGCATCAGGGACGAGAGTAGGTGGGCGGGAAGGCGCCTGTCTGCTGGGACTCTGAGGCCATCCGGCCGCACTGGGCACAGGCCTCCCCTCCCCAGCGGGGCTGCCCCTCTGGTCCCTCCGCGTCCACCCGGCCTGTGGCCTGGGCACACAGGGCAGCTGGCGGCTCCACGCAGACCTTGCTTTACAGAACTCGCGCTCTCACGAGCAGCCCCAGGCCCGGAGGCGGGGACACTGCCGGAGGCCGTGAGGCCGGAGGCGTGTGCCCTGGTCACGGAGTGGGTTCCTCCATCTCAATCGGTCTCCACGTCAGCTCAGGGCGGGGAGTGTGAGGAACTGCCCCCCACCCCACCCAGGGATGCTCCGCCCCCAACTCTGGGACAGAACCAACTTCACTTCCTCTCCCACCCTTCCCCCCACACCCCACCTCCTGGGCCGCCTTCCCCAGCGTGGGGTGGGGGGCTGGAGCGCCTGGGTCGGTCTCCGGGCCTGTGCGCTTCAGAGATACCCGAAGGCTTTGGTGAGCTCGGACTCCAAGCCTTGGCGGGGGGTCGGGATTCGGGGCCACTGAGGGGCTCCTGGGCACAGAGCAGGCGCCTCCTGGGGACAGTCAGGTCCTGCGGTGAAGACTGCTGTCACGCTGAGGAAGGCCTCCGCCCACGGGGCTGCAGCCAAGCACGCCTCTCTCCAGCCTCGTGAAGGACATTGCCACAGCGTCTGGCACCAGGGGACCAGCCTGAGGAGCCTGGCCACAGCCGGGCCTGGCTGGAGCTCTGATTCAGCG